CAGAATGTTCTCGAACACAAGCTGAAAGCTGTATAAACCCTGCTGGTCCGCAGTTAGTTAGTGAGTGTGAGTCAGGTGTGTCTCAGCTAGTTGGTGTGTGCAGAGATGATCGACTTGACAGCCGGCCAGCGAGTGCCGAGTGGATCGTCGAGCGCATCAAAGAGTCTCTTAGTATATCGCTGTTAGTGCATCGTTGAGGGAGTGTGTTAAGCTCCGGAAACGACTGAACTGAAGAGTCAGGAACTGTGCTCTGTGTGTCGTCAAGTGCATCACGTGTTGTAGCGTGGAGAGTCTTGAGAGTACATGGAGTTTCGAGAATGACCGAACAGAGTCGGGAGCTGTACTCTGGTGCTTTGCAGTGAAGCTGTCTCCACCATTGTTGCCTGACAGTGTGAAGGCTGTGTCGCTGATTGTTCCAGCGTGTATATTGTAGATCTTCGATGACTGAAAAGGTGTTTTTGAGCTGTCCTTATTAATATTGGTAAATAAAGCGTGTGTCTATACTTCATCAAGTGTCAATCCAAATCCACATGAACCTCGTACGAACGTGAAGGAAGAAAATAACGTAACAACTGGTGTCAAAAAAGAAAAACGTAACAATAGTTTAATAATAATGCATAATTTTCTATGTTATGCTTAGAACAATATTCTGAAAGTCAAGATTTAAAGTCTCTATATGGATGATCATTTTAGTTCATTCACCTCTTTGATGCGATGTCTTTATTTTTTGTTTTCATTGATAGTCCTGAAATGCTGTCAAGTTTCATATAAAGAAATAGTATGAACCGTTAATTAAATAAGACACCCATGTAAACTGTTTTTGCATATGAACTTTTATAGATATATGCATTATTGCAAAGAATTCATAAATTACATTGAAGGTTCATTTATAAAGAATTATGTTTATGGTAATTAAATAAACTTTTAATTTTATTAAATACAAACAGAATGTTAAATACTAAGTATTAAAGAATCTGTGCCCACCAGTGGCTGAGGGATAAAGCAATATATATACTCTTATATATCTATACAAAACTTATCTATCGCTGAACACTAGTAGTTCAGGTCCAAGGTTCGAATCCCGTGAACAGGCAGGCTTTAGAAATGTGTATATGAGCCAGGTTCCCTTGTAAAGTCCTCCATGAAGGCATACCTCTCCTTAGGCAGATAGCCGTCGAGGCTTTACCGTTATTAACCAAACCAAATTAAAGGATTTGTATATATACATTCAATTTTTATCAGTAAAAATCATGGGGACTTAATTCCAGGAGTGAGAATATTTTTTCATGAGACACAGTATTAAATTACAATAAACCTAAAACTAATTTAAAGAAAATTGATGCAATAACAGGTAATACAGTCAAAAGTCGTTAATCCGGACTTGTCGGGACTTCAGCGATAATCAATTTAAATCTCGTAAGATGGCATGCAGAAATTGAAAATATGAAACCATAATTTATGAAATAAAGAACAATTATGATCTAAAGGGTATCAAAATTTACAAAAAAAAAAAAGCTTAATATTTATCTGTTTACTTTATTAAACATTTCTTTCAATGTAAGTTGTTTAAGTTGCTTCGTTTTATGTGATAATACTTTCTCTTTAATTCTATAAACAGACATAATTTCTTGTTCAGTTACAAAGTTCCGCTGTTCAAGTCCCATAATTGCTGTGCCGAGAATACCGACTAACTTGTCAATCAAAATTTTTCGTTTTCACTAAGCTCTCTGTCACCTTCTTCATGTCTTTATCCATTTTTTGCAGCAATTCCACTTTTTGTTTGATGGACATCGAAACATACTTTCATTTTGTAGATCCTTTGGGAGCTCCAGCATCGGAAATTCTATTTGACATAATCGAAAGTTCAAGTTTGCTTTTATAAAATTGCTGTTACAGTCTGCAAAAAATAATAAACCCGATCCAATTTGAAGATTAAGGAACAACGCAATCATCAACATTAACTGAAATAGATAATTAGATAATTTTAGCTTATACCGTCCATTATACATAGTGATGGGCAACTTCGGTACTTTCTTGTACCCGGTACAAAGTAATGGGTACAGAAAAGTACCTGGTACAAAATACCGTTACTCAAGTAACCGTTACTTTGAAAAGTTCCGAAAACTGATTTCAAGTACCGCGTACCCAAGTAACGATTTGGAGTACCGAAGTAATGAAATACCGGAGTAACGGTTTGCTGTACCGGAGTACCCTAGTGACGATTTGGAGTATTGAAGTACCCTAGTAACAATTTGGAGTACCGAAGTGCCCTAGTAACGATTAGGAGTACCGAAATACGCAGCTAACGATTTTGCGCATTGATGGAACTAAGTGCAATATCGCCTAATGATTCTATTAATCAGGCATGAAAGAGCAAAAAATGCAAAGGAAAAAAAAAGGAGGAACATGTATGTTTACATAAACATGTCCGGATAATTTCCGGTGTTCCATTGGATAGTTTTTCTCCCTTCAAATAAGCTAGCTCCAGAGGGAGTTAAAAAAAAAAAAAAAAGAAGAAGAAGTTTCAGACTGCCAGTTCAAAGTTCACCTCGCTTCCTATCGGAGGAGCATGGTCACGTTCTGGGGAGTAAAGCAGGCATTGACCATCCTGCGTTAGGCACGTGACCTGGGTTTAGTTTTTGGCGAGATGAAAATCTGTTTTTAGAAGGGGGAAGAGATATCAGAAGAATTATCATAAGTGGGTCAGTTATCTTTGTTCTTTTCATTAGAAAAGTTTAAAATTGCATTTGTATTTTATGTTGATTGGCTTAGTGATCCACTAGATGCTGTGACATTTTCTGAAGTACGTACAGCGGGATAAAAAAGGATCATATTTATTTAAAAAGGATCATATGATTTACGTAGCCCTGTTAAGCAAGCAAACGAAAAATATTTTTCATGATTTATGCTAAATATATGTTGAGGAAAAGGAAGTAATCTAGTTGGTAGTTGATTCCATTCACCAATCCAAAAACTTACCAAATCAATCATTTCAGATCCACGCAGTTTTTCTCCTACAAACGATGACCAAAAGCAAGTAGCAAATACCGAAAAGCACCCGTTTCGGTACAGAAGTAACGAATACCAAAAAGTACCCGTTTCGGTACAGAAGTAACGAATACCGAAAAGTACCCGTTTCGGTACAGAAGTAACGAATACCGAAAAGTGCCCGTTTCGGTACAGAAGTAATGAATACCGAAAAGTACCGATTATGGTACTGAAGTAACGGGTACTTGGATGTACCGATTTTCGGTACCCGTTACAAAATACCCGGTTCGGTAGTACCGACTCATCACTAGTTATACATAAAACGCGCACGCGAAAACGTATTCTGCGCTTGCGCACACACATATGCGCAGTCATAAAGGTCTTACGCGCACGCGTAAACACCTATGCGCATTGATGCTAAAGCAAAGCTTAAAGTTTATAAAATTAAACATTTAGCAGTAGTAGCAATAAAAGCTCCCTGAGATTATATGTTGTGCAGACGTTGAAGACAATAAAGAGGCTTCAAACTTAACCAATTTATTAACAATATATAAAAACAATAAAAACACAAAGAATAAGTTTAAACAATATCAGAGTCTTAGAAAAAATATAATATAACCATCATTTTCAAACTTTCATTCATCAAATAATATTTTACCTGGTCTCCAAAAATACTGGCATTCAATACAAACAAAATGTCCTAAACAGAAGTTATGCGGTCTCAAATGAAATTGGCTACACATTCAATAAGTCCATGATCAATGGTCAAGAAAGCACCTGAAATTTAAATTAAGTCCTTGAAAGCACTTAAATCCGGCCTAACTCCGCTTACAGTAGTTGAACACGAGGAATCGCCGCTAACTTATTTAAATGCCGCCTTCATGAAGAACATGGATGCCGCCCATGGCAGTCACTCACATTGTAACTTCTGGAACCAAGGAACTTATTCTGGAAAGGTCATCTTGTATACAGGAACCAAGGAACTTATTCAGGAATAGTCATCTTGTGGATAGGAACTAAGGAACTTATTCACCGGACTGCACGCATCCTTCAAAAACGGGCTGGAAACTGCACACCCACGAGCCAGGAAAGCAGGAACTAGAAGGGCTGAGCCAGAGTGATGCGAGATACTTATACCAGAAGTAGGCATGACGTCATCTCATGGCAACCAATCAGCTATCAGCACGATTCGGCTTTCCAGATGACGTAACATCACGTTTCGTTTTTGCATCTTAATTAGGTTGAAACAGTCCGTTCTCAACACAAACAGTGGCAGTAGAAAGAAAAAAAAGTAGAAGTAACTACTATATCCCATTAAAAATAAGAACTAAGCCTAATAAATTCAAGGAGGAGAGATGATGCAGTAAAAGGGTTAAAATAAGTCATATTTTCCAACAAATCATATAAATCATATTTTCCTATGTGCATGTGTCAACACGGCGCATGCGCAGAAAGTTTTTAGCTTTGAGGTCCGGATTATGGGTGTCCGAATTAACGACTTTTGACTGTAATACCTTACTATGAACCATCATGATTCACTGTTTCAAACACTAAGCAAAACTTTGTAACAAAAGATAACTGTTGTTAAAGAATTTTGAAAGTGTATATAAAACCTATCATAAACATTTCAATTCAATGTAAACATTTCAATTCAAAGTAGCATTACAAGCATTGGTTTCTACAGTCTTAGCTTTTTTTAGAAGAAGCATTCAAATAGAACCAGATCTTAAAATGTGAAGAAGTAAGTCTTATCTTAAATCCATTAAAAAATATTTTATTTTTCTTTGTAGAGAGATAATTTAAAATGTAAATCCTACCTTATCACTAGTTATAATAATTCTTATATGTTTGTTTTACTTTTTAAATAGATGATTCCCTATTCTAAAGTTATAAATTTATATTATTTTCTAAAATACCAGTATATATTTATTAAACTACTAGTTCTGAGCAATGCATATTGTTATATCAATGTGACATTCATTGTTTTATTAAAGAACATTATCTTTTTTAAGGCATCGAAAGAAAAACTCTGTATTTTCATTGTCTCAACATATATTGATGGGCAGCCTCCAGAAAATTGCCATTGGTTCTGTAAATGGTTAGACGAAGCTTCTTGTGATTTTCGGATTTCAAGAGTTTTGCTGAAAGGGCTTAAGCACTGCATTTTTGGTTTAGGAAGCTCTCTTTATGAAGACAATTTCAATAAGGTTAATTTTAATTATAAGATTTCTATTTTCAGTTTAATTGTAGAATTACCAATTCTGGTTTATTTTCCATACGTATATATATATATGTATAGTAATTTCATTACTTAAATTATTCTTTTGAGATAAAATATATAGAATTAATGTAAAACAAATATGGTGAATTTCTTAACAGAAAACCACAAAATAAAAACCACTGAAACAGAATCCTGGGGGGAGGGAAACTTAAATAAAAATAAATAGAACAATTAACATAATTTAAGTAATAGTTGATAATTTTTTGGTTTGGGTCAAGGAGCAGCTGGAAGAATTTTCAACATAGCCAGATATAATTCAGAAACATGCTTTTGTGCTACTTAATATATATATACAGTACAAAGTCCGTAATCCGGACTCCTCGGGACTTCGGCGATTCCGAATTGGGGGTTTTTCCGGATTATCGATCATCAATTTAAATCTTAAATCTGGTAAGATGGTATTTAGAAATTATAGAATTAAAAATATGAAACCGTAATTTATGAAATAAAGAGCAATTATGATCTAAAGGGTATCAAAATTTACAAAGAAAAAAAAAAAGCTTAATATTTTAATTTGTTTACTTTATTAAACATTTCTTTCAATGTAAGTTGTTTACGTAACTTCGTTTTTTGTGCTAATACTTTCTCTTTAATTCTCTCTTCTATAAACAGTATCTCTTCTCTTTACGTGCATGCACTCATTAAACGCGCATGAATAAATGTATTATGCACATGCATAAACGCATATGCGCATGTGCTGTGTGTATATATATATATATATGTGTGTGTGTGTGTTGAACCCCTCCTTCTTCTTTCTTTTTTTTTTTTTTTTTTTTTTTTTTTTTTTTTTTTTTTTTTTAGGGGGGGGGTTGGTCTCTTAAATTTTTTATTCAGTGATTTTTTATTTGTGTCTTCACCTTTTTTGTATTAATTCACACCTTTTTTGTATTAATTCTATATATTTTATCACTTTCAGAAGTAATTTCTGAGCATGTTGCATGACATTAATAGCATTTATTAATAAAATATTATCCTGTTTCTGATCTGTATGTGTGTATTGCATAATTTTCCAGTTTAATTAATGTATACGTATGTATTAATGCTAGACCTGTAATTAAAATAATTAAAATTTTATTATTGGTTTCTTCATTAATCTCTGTCTCATTTAACTTTTTAAACATTTAAATTTGTAAAATATTAAATAAAACTAAAAATTAGAAAATTTTAGTAATTAAATAACATAATTAATTCTTATTCATATAATGTAATATTTTTTATTTTTCTGCTTCAGGTAGCTATTGGCATTGATGAAGCATTAAGAACGTTAGCTTCAACGTCAGTTCTTCCATTAGTAAAAGCAGATGAAAATGCTAAAACTAGTACGAATCTTATCAATTGCCTTTCTTTAGATCTATTTAAATTCCTTCTGAGGACTCATAATTTTTGCATTTACTTTTTGATGTGTTATGTGTAGTAGATGCTATAAATAATCAGCAATTTGTTATGACTATTTAAACACTTTTTTGGAAGTGGAAATTAAGACCTGATAAAAGAAAATATAACACATGCATGTATCCACATCATCGCCAATATTTAGTGTGACCTCTTCCCATCAGCCTTATAGTATATTAATCTGTCTATGATTAAAATCTTCTGGTTTGGATTTTATGAAGTCTTATACACTGGATTCTCGTTTTACATGATGGATTTGTTCTGTGCATTACCTTTAAAAAAAAAAAAAAAAACAAAGGGGGGCATTAAAAATTACTAAAAATAAAAATTGATATAAAAATTGATTCAGAATATCAAAAAATAAGATTTGTTATTTTTTATTATATCTTAATTAAAAATAACATTATAAAAAATACTTTGAAAAAAATCATAATAGAGATTATTTATTATCAGACGTATCCATTTACATACCTTTGCTGTGAATCATATTCATCACTTAAAATATCCAGAGTCTATGTAATATATATATATATATATATGTAAGATAAAAGTATATGAATCAGAATTATAATATAACTATAAACATTAATTCTTCCTCTCTATTCTAAAATCGTAATAACTTCTGTGCATTGCGTCATTTCTAGATCACTCTATGGTCCGCGCAGCTCTGAAGACGTAATAATTGGGAACTGAAACTGCCGTTGTAAACCAAAACTTTTCTCCTCGCCGTGCTTCCATCTTTCATAACTACGCACTTCAGCTTTTGCTCTCTACTGTGCTAAGATGTAATTTCGCTGGCTTGCTTTCTATCTCAACAATATCAAAAATGTAAATCTTCTGTGGAAAGGCACGACTAGAGTGTCAAGTGATTGTGGCCACAAATATCAGTTGCAAATAAAAATGGAATCAAAACTGCCTCGACTGCCAAGTTCTTTAGATATTACCAAGTTAGCATTACTAACATACTACGCAATCAAAACCTCTTCAATATGGGTCTAATCATGCATCTACAGTGTTCCGTATTTCCTTTGCTTTTATTATGACATATATATATATATATATATTATTTTTTATTTTACTGGATTTAAAGAAAAATGCAGTTATCAGTTACTGTGACTTTTTCCCCTTCTGGTTGCATGTATAACTCATGGTATTGAGCCATGCAAGCAATCAAATCTCGTTGAAGTTGTAGAAGTCATTCTACATTGTAATCTTGTGTTAAAAAATGATTTTGAAGTTTATTAGCCAATTGTGGCCTTCAAGGATTGATTTGGCTGTTATTGCACCTCCATCTTCACTGTCACTAGTTTCCTTGGGGATAATGTAATTCTTTAAACCGGTTTCGAATATTTCATCCTTATTGAAACTTTATCAGCAGTCAATTCGGCAAGAGGTTCAGTTATAAGCATTTTAGAGCCTTCTTGACCAACTGTACATGCTACAGTGATAATCTATTTGAGCAAATATGGTTAGTTGTAACACATTCTGGTCAAATTGCATGCTTTCAGAGTTGATGGCTTTAATTCTGATAATGCCCTAGCAACGTGCTGTACATACATGAAAATATTTTCCACAAATCAATGACTTAAAGTATTTTGTCTTTAATGACTTAAAGTATTTTGTTATTGCACCTCCATCTTCACTGTCACTAGTTTCCTTGGGGATAATGTAATTCTTTAAACTGGTTTCGAATATTTCATCCTTATTGAAACTTTATCAGCAGTCAATTCGGCAAGAGGTTCAGTTGTAAGCATTTTAGAGCCTTCTTGACCAACTGTATATGCTACAGTGATAATCTATTTGAGCAAATATGTCAAATTGATTCAGAATATCAGTTTGTTTTAAGTAATAATCTATTTGAGCATATAAGTTTGTCCAGGATATATTGGAAATTTCTATTAGTGTACTATGACTTAAATGTCACAGTAATTCCTGTTGTCGTCTTAAATGTTGCTAAATCAAGGTAGGAATAAAACTTTCACACCTGTGTCTTTCGGAGTAAGATGCTCAGGTACATTGTCTATAAGCAAAAGAATTTTGAGTGGCAGACCTTTATCCTTTATATGTTTTTGTGCTTCAGGAATAAAAAATTGCTGAACCATTTGCTAAACATTCCGGCTGTCATCCATGCTTTTTCTGTTTGGCATCCAATGTATTCGTATATAATTCAGGTCTACACCTTTCATTGCATGTGTATGATTTACTTGATTAATAAGTAAAGGTTTCATAAGATGAGCTCCTGAAGTATTGCTAAACATTAATGATGTAACACAATCCGTGGCAGATCTAGAAATATGAGCAGTTTTTTTTTTTTTTTTTTTTTTTTTTCTGCTGTTGCATCAGCAGGTACAACTTCATGTTTACTTCCTTCTACAAAGTGAAAAGGAAGTATTGTAATTGTGAAAATTTTCAGGCATCATATTTCAATGAAAGTATCCATTTTGACCGCTTTACAGCAACAAAAATAACGCCTTCATTTATTATTGCGAATTAAATCATGCTTAATCTTTTCTGAAGTTTATTCGAGAAAATAAGTGTTTAAGATTTACTTTGTTATTTTCAATATATAGATATTTTGAGTTTTCATAAATTTTTCCCTTTTCACGAAGTGAGACTGAATTAATTAAATGAGAAATACTGAATCCTCTGTGAAAAACTGTTTCTTTTTTGTTTTCTTTCTTAATTTCTTTTAGACATCGTTCTAGATTTATTATAGTATTTGAATAGAACATGTGGCAACAATTAAACAATTCTTCAAGTGCATTCTGAGTTATAATATGAACAAAATATAACGCTGTTAAGTGAACCTAGTGCCATAGTGTCGCTATGGTAAACAAAAATAGTGAATTTTAAAGAGGGCATTTATTCTATTGTGGTTTATGCGCTATTGAAGAAGTAGATTTAATTCAATCCAATAAGTTTAAATGAAATGCAAGAAAAAATGTATATTATTTAATATTCCATACAAGAGAGTCATGTGGTGTATGTACGCATCAGATTTTTCATTTTAATGTTATGCATTGCATATCTTTTGAAAAATCTGAACAGCCATGCTGTGCTTGCAGTTAATTCATCCTTCTTATATCAAAGAGAGTCTCAACAACCTTACCTGAGTCCTATTCTTTAATTTGCATATAAAATCTTAACATCTTTTGCTTAATAATGTTTTTTTATGGTAATTTGTTTTCGTATTTCTATTCATACAGCTAGAGTTTTTTTTTTTTTTTTTTTTTAAGTAACATCTCTTCTGTATGATGATGATTAGCTTGGGATGTACTAACTTATGATACAAAAAACTTCAATTATCCTTTAGAACAGCACATTTTTAATGGTTCTCTCTGGTGCTTCATTCAAACCAAGCTTCCTAAACACTTATGTTCAACCTTGTTCGCTTTTAAGACAATCTAAGATTTTTGCCTTAATTCCAATAAAATTCGCTTTCTATTCTGTTTCATAATTTTGATATAACCCAACATTTTAGAGTTAATTTAATCACAGGATATCAAGTAAACATCCCACACACACATATCATGCTAGCCATCCACAATGTCCAATGAAATTCACACAACTAACTGCACTGCACCGTTTCTAGCAATTATGCTCTTGGCAAGTAGTAAGTACACATAACAGGAGTAAAAAATTCTAAAACTGAATATTATTTCCATTACACATTATTAAAATAATATTTGAATTATTATAAGTAGTAGTACAATTCTGCTCACGGCAAGTAGTAAGTACACATAACAGGAGTAGAAAATTCTAAAAATGAATATAACTACCATTAAACATTGTTAAAATAATATTTGAATTATTATTGCTGTTATTATTATTGGTACATGCATATTATCCTACTGTCAACCATAAAACAGTCACCAAAGAGCACGATTTAGTTCCAATTATGGATAAATATAACGCAGCAGCACACATTGGTAATATCTGCTCTTTTATCTGATGTAACCGTAATTGATTCTCAATAAGCCAGCTTTTGTTTTTATGAACAAGGCTATATATTAACTGTTATGGTTACATTTTTTTTTTTTTTCATTCTGTAAGAAAGGATTAAAATTTGGGACCTGTCTTCTACTGATTCGGTTCAGTTAATTTGATTATGGCAAAGCATTCAAGGGCCATCTACCTAAGGGAAGGGATGCCTTCATGGAGGTCGTTTTAAGAGAAACTGACTTGTGGACGTGTTACCCATTGGGAAAACCACCTGCCTTCTACAGAACAGCAAGCAATGTATTATTTTTAAAGTTATGGTATCTTATCAAGAAAAGTGTATATTAATGGACAAGATATGGTTAATTGAATAGGGTTGACAAAACAATAACAAATTGGAACAATTACCTGCAGAAAGTTTGTATTCATAGCAGAGACAAAGCTGCCAGTAAAATTGAAGGGCCTAACAAAATAGTAGAAATAGACAAAAACTTTTTTATTAGGCACAAAAATGAAAATGCTCAAATATAAATTGTTTAATAAATAAGCATCAGTACCTTCTGAATTTCACAGGAATGATTAGCAAAACTTTGGCAAGATCTGAGTCAACTTTCAGGGTTCAGTGGTAGCCAACTTTGATGAGGTAATGCATTAGTACTATATTATTCTGTTATTTTTTTGCAAAGTGGTATTCCGAAGTTGTGTAAAAAGAAAGAAAAAGAGAATCCAGTGTAATGCTTTTTTACATTTTGTGTATCATCCAAAGTTAAGGGCCAAGGAATTACATAATGAGGGGGAAAAAATTACTGTCCAAATGAGCAACATTTAAGGATAAGGTAAAACCAACCAATGTAGAGTAGTTTCTTTTAAGTGCTTAAAGCATTATCTGGAATTTTCATGCTGAAAGATAATGCCTTGGTGACTGACAGTTGACTTACATGACTTTTTGCATCACTTTTTACAGTCAAGGTGGACAGTTTTTGAGGGACAATCCTTGTATAGCTTTATTGATAAATTAAGAGAGAGCCATAGTAAAATATTGCTAGGCAACTGGTAAGGGTAGGCAGATGAAGGCAAAATGTTTATAATAGGCATATTGATGTTGATCTCCTGACCAGAAGGATTCGGTGGTGGTTTTTTTTTTTTTTTTTTTTTTTCTTCAGTTCTGTCCTATTGCTTGTTTAAACTTCTGCAGTCTTCATCATTTGAGGAACGTGTGTAATATACTAATGAATTAAGATTCATCTTTAAGAGTAATAGTTACATAAACTAAACACACAATATTAATTATCAAATTTTAAAAGAACAAGATTCCTTTGAATGTGATATGGAAGCAGATAGCGTAAAATAGTCGTGCAAACAGATATAACTATCCAGAGAAGTCATTTGTATAATATACTATATAGAGTATATTATACATTTGTATAATATACTATATAGAGTCTACGTGTTCTTTTAGGGAACATACGTTGACTCTACATCAAAGCCAGAGTACCAAATTCTCACTATGTCTTTAAGAATAAATACTGGAGAAGAAAGTTTTAAATAACCTTTTTATTTAAACTAAATTAAACAGATGCATGCACTTCATGCTGACAGATCACCACCATTTGTGGCTATGTAAATTAACAGAAAATAAGAATGTAACACATCACTAGTAAATCAAGATATCTAATCACTAGTTCCTTAGCTTAACTAATGCTAAATCGGCTGCAAAGCCTAGCCTAGGAATAGGAATATGAGTATAAACTGAAAGGTGTCTAACAATGGTTAGAGAGCTAAATTCAAACTCACGACATAAACTTGGAACTAAATCCGCTACTACCATTTTTGAACTCTTGACGCACAGCATAAATACTGCTTCTGAAACACGTTTAAATTTGAATACTACATCATTCAATATTTACAATCCAGGGGAAAAACGAAAGCAGAACTAAAAGTAATTGGTTAGAATAAAATAAATGCTTACAACTATAGGAATAAGATCATGCATTGTTGTGTCAGCTTTTCCCCTTTCATCTTAGTCTTAACAAATGTATGTTTATATTTCTTATTGTTTGTAAAACAGGAATTATATCTATGAACCTAGATGTGTTCAAAGAATAAGTATGCGCAACTAGATTTGTATAACTAAACCCCCTCAGAAAATGCAAGAAACTACTCTGGTAGACATGCTTTCATTACTCTGGTAGACATGCTCACAAATGGTTATAAATACTAGCAGCTAATATTTATAACCATTTGTGAGTTTCAAGAAGCATTTCTTGAAGAATGATTTATTTCCCTAGATGTATTAAATAGGCTACTTATAAATAAGTTTCATTGTTAACACTCATATAGAAAGAAATTATTGGTCTGTGTGTGTTAAATGTAATTTTTCATACATAATTTTTCTTTTAATCTTCATTTTCATACTTTATGACATATTTTGGATTTTAATTTTAGAAATTGTATGCATTTTCATTAACTTCGTTTAGTTTACCTTATGTAGTTGTTTTTTGTGTTTAAACTTGACTTTTTGAATATGTGCATATTACAAATGCTTCCCTCTAAATCCAGATTATATAAATCCTAATTTTCCTCTATGTATCTGCTTATTTTAGCTAACCTTTTTCTTAATGCAGTCAAAAGTTGTTAATCCGGACTCGTCGGGACTTCGGCGATTCTGGATTATAGATCATCAGTTTAAATCTGGTAAGATGGCATGCAGAAATTATAAAATTAAAAATATGAAACCGTAATTTATGAAATAAAGAACAATTATGATCTAAAGGGTATCAAAATTTACAAAAAGAAAAAGCTTAATATTTATTTTTTTACTTTATTAAACATTTTTTTCAATGTAAGTTGTTTAAGTTGCTTCGTTTCATGTGATAATACTTTCTCTTTAATTCTATTAAACAGACATAATTTCTTGTTTAGTCACAAAGTTCCGCTGTTGAAGTCCTATAATTGCTGTGTCGAGAATACCGACTAATTTGTCAATCAAAATTTTTTCGTTTTCAATAGCCTCTGTGTCACTTTCTTCTCTATCGGAAGCGAATTATAATGACAAGGAACTTGATTTAAATCATATCAAAGACGGAGTACATCGAGATGAAATACTACATTTATTAAGGAATTATAAGCCAAATAAAATAAAAACATCTGTCCTGAAGATAAGGATAGTGCTGACAGATCAACTTCCAATTCATCGTGTGCGGCGTCGTCCCCCCCCCCCCGCAGAGCAGCGTGAAATTTATAAACATATTTTGAAATTATTAGATAATCAAAGGATATGCCTTTATCTATTTTTTGCAGCAATTCCACTTTCTGTATAATGAACTTCGAAACATACTTTCGCTTTGTAGATCCTTTACATATTAGTCAAATATATATCGGAAATTCTATTTGACATAATCGAAAGTTCAAGCTTACTTTTATAAAATTGCTCTAACAGTCTGCAAAAAATAATAAGTGATCCGATTCGAAGATTAAGGAACAACGCAATCATCAACATTAACTGAAATAGATAATTAGATAATTTTAGCTTAGTTTATACCATCCATTATACATTAAACGCGCATGCGCACACGCATATTCGCAGCCATAAAGGTCTTACGCGCACGTGTAAACGCCTATGTACATGCGTCAACGCGATGCATGCGCAGAAAGTTTGTAGCTTTGAGGTCCGGATTATGGGTGTCCGAATTAACGATTTTTGACTATATGTTCCCCCACTACCAACCTCATCCACAATGAATTTTGAAGCAGTTCAGTAATGTAGCCAAAAGAATTGTGGTTTTATTTTTAAGTCAAGTGCTTTTTTTTATTTTTAACTTGTCGAAGTTGGGCTACTAATGTTAATTTAATTTGTTTTTTTCTAACTACCATTTACTTAACTATTAATTAATTTTCTGTACTGTATATTGGTTAACTCTGAAAAAAGCTAATTTTCTTTTACATTTTTTGAAACACCAGCTCGCAGATATAAATGTTTCAAGAAAAGTAAAATCAGATTGTTTTTATTTTTATTTTTATTTTTATTTATTTATTTATTTTTTTTTTATTATTTATTATTATTTTATTTATTTATTTTTTTCATTTTCTTTTTTCAGATTGTTTTTTTCTTGGTTTGCTGTATTTTGACTGAGTTGTGCTTTTGTTCTGTTTTATTGTATCTGTGTTTTTTTTTAATTACCCTTGGTTTTAATTTTGCTTTAAATTTTATAATAAAATTATTTAATTTTTTAAAGTTATTTCACTTTATCAGTTTTACGCTGTATCAGGACATGATATTTGAATTTCCTTTTAATTTAAATTTTTATGAAAAACAGCGCCTTTTATTTTTAGCGTTTCGTTTTTATGATTTATGTAGATGAAAACTCAAAAATTTGATTTTATTATTACTTCTGTCATTGATTTTTTTTTAATTTTAATTTTAAGAGATAATTTTAAACTTTTATTTTTTCAAACCCTTTTCATATCATTCTAAGAAGTGTTCCCACCTAATTTTATGGCTTTACTTTATACACCTGGCTATATTATTTTATTTTTAATGCAATTTTTGCTGCAGGTTTAGAAGATAGCTACAATATCTGGAAGAAAGACTTGAAAGAAACGTTGTGTAGAGAAAATATGCTAAAAGAAGAAACACCAGAAAATGAGGTTTCTGTTTGTTTATAGTTGACATCAACATTACCTCTGTAATTATGCATAACTTTTGAGCAACTAAATAGTACTAAATGTTTTTTATAGCAAGAGAAAGAAACAATTTCTGAAAGTAGTGATGAAGAAGAAGATGTAATGGATCTAGAAGAATTAGGTAGTGCTTTTACTAAGAAAATTCCGCAGGTTAGTAAAGCTAAAAAAGTAAATAATTAAATTTTTACTGTTCAGACTATTTTTATTTTTGTTTTACATAGAGTGATCTTAAATTTTATATATATATTGGCAGCTTTTAATGCCAAAAAAATTTAAGTCCTCAAAATAATATGATTAATTCATCAAATTAACACAATATAAATAATAAAATTAGTAATTACATCTTCAAACTAATGTGATTAATTCCAATGAATTATAATCACAATATTAATAATAAAATTAATAATTAAATCCCCTGAATAATGTGATTGTTTTACCTTTCTTTTCATTTATGAAAACATAAGAATGCATTACCTGTTTTTTACATATTATTTCTCTAAATATATCAGTAGCTGAATAATCATGTTTATTAAATACAATATAAACATTTGAATATTTTCATTTACTAAAAGCTGGAAGATAACAACGGGCCAAAAGAGATGATTACCCCTCTTCTTCGCAAAGCACTTACAAAACAAGGCTATAAGCTTTTAGGCAGTCATTCAGGTGTGAAAATGTGTCGATGGACCAAATCTATGTTACGTGGTAGAGGAGGCTGTTACAAGCATACATTTTATGGAATAGAAAGTCACAGATGTATGGAAGCTACACCTAGCCTTGCATGTGCAAACAAATGTGTATTCTGTTGGAGGTCTGTATATTAAAACCATTTATAAATATTAAGATGCTTACTTTGAGCTCAAATATCCTCTTTCATTATTTTCTATTTTTAGAATTAAATGCCAGTAAATTAACTTGTGTACTGCGAACAAATATATTGTTTATATATTTTTGTGAACTTTTTTATTCATTCTATGATCAACTCCGTATTAACTGTACCCTATCTAAAAAATACATAGTTTATTATAGAACGTGGAAAAATCACAAACCTTCTGCATAAAAAAACAAAATTGTATTTAGAAAATAGAAATGGGGGGGACTAGGATAACAGCAGTGATAAGAGATGATCCAAATAGTATTTGGGAGTTGTTTTCATCCACAAAAATATAATTTAATTTTGTTAGTACCCAAACCAGAATATATAAACTTTGTTGGATTGTTTGTTAGAAGTAAATCACTTAAGTCTTAAATATATATCAACTGTGCAGTCTCAAATTGAATCTTTTTTACCTATAAATATATGATCTATGTATTTATGTTTTTGTCCTATAAATATGTGACATACATACACAAAAGCAAATAGTAAGTGCATTATGAAGTAAGGAATGAAAATAAACAGGAGAAAGACAAAATAGAAAGAAAAAAGGGTACATGTACACCCTTGGGCGAGGAATAGAATTTTGAATACTGATTTAATTAATGTGATGAAATATGATTATTCTCCAGGTTAAATGTTTCGAATGTACATGTAAAATTTGTTGTTGTTTCTCATCCCTGTGACCAGCAAAGCTAGATCAGATCCATGAGCCCATTCAGCCTGAAAGAGTCCAGTTCAAAAAAGGGGTCTTGAACCAGATCCTGTCTGGTAAGCCCCAGACAAGATAAGATGTGATCATGAGAGGCCTGTGCGATAGAAGACTTAGTGCATATTTCAAAGTGTTTATTACTACCAACAAAAGTCATTGATAACAGATGGCCACTAAGGAATCTAGTAAGTGCAGTTTGATCTCGTATATTGCTGCTCTGAACCAAGGAGCCACCAGGGCACTTACTCTGATACCATGGGTTAACTGGTGGCACCATCCAAATGGGCTTATTCTTTGCCTTTCATTTAGAAAATAGTTCCATATAAGTAAGAGGAGTGGCAGGCATTGTGGTCTCACTAGCACCAGCTGTAGCCAAGCTGTCTGCAATTTCATTTCCAGTAACATTGACATGGGACAGAATCCCCTGAAAGTGGATCCGATGAGAAAGGGAAAGTTTTTTTTCCTGAGGATGTCTGCACTTGTACTATCCCTCACATTATGTCAATCAGCCAAGTGCTGGACGGCACTTCTACTATCCGAAAAGATCCAGATACCTTTTAACTAAGCCTCGTGATATATTCCAGACCCTCCAAAATTGCAGTAAGCTTGCTTTGGAATACTGAGCAGAAGTCTGGATGGATTTCTTCTTTGAATTCTTTTTTCTTGATCCCGAAATCTAATATAAATACCATTGCCAAAACTGTCATTAACAAGTTTACTGCCTGTATACATGTGGACAGCATCTATAGGAACATTATTAATTGTTTCAAGAGCTAACTGTTTCAAGTAGCACGGCAATTCCATCTGTTTGCTAACTTGGACAGAAAGGTTAACATAAAAGTAAACCCCATCAAGACATTCAGAGGAGTCGATAATCTGAGATAAGCTGTGATGTTCTATAGAACTGGCGATAAGGTGGTCAGAAACAATCTGTCCAAAGGCACTACCATATTTGAGCCTCTGGTTGTTGCTCCATGACCCTAAAAATTTACATAAAATGTTAATTTAAACATAAAAAATTTTCAGTTTATGACCACTGATGTCCTGAAAAGCTCTTTGTCTGGGTACTTATTGTGTTAATGCAACCACCTTGTTGCAATTCGGCAATTGTTTATAGATGAAAAGTTAATGTGGAACTGAGGGTTGTCATGATGGAAAACTATCCATCAACTATCCTCAAAGACTAATAAGTTCTAAGTATCTGCCTTTTTTTTTTTTTTTTTTTTTTTTAACTTTTAAAATAAAAATTACTTACCAGGTGCAAGTTGATGGTTCTCGCACCTCTTTTTTTTTTTTTTTTTTTTTTTTAAAAGAAAGATTCCTAATATTTATCGATATTTATCGTAAGTTGGTAAACATTATCAACATGAAAAGAAAACATATGCTTTAGCATTATAAAATACAAATTTGAATAATTAAATAAGGATTACATGATATGTTAAAAAACACATTCTTTAAATCTTTTATTATTATTATTATTTTGTGCTATTCTTCTGCCAAAGTACACAGTGCTCTATTTTTGCATAAAAAAAAATCCGACAATGGAGAACTTAATTTCATGCAATCCTCAGCAGCTATATAGGAAGCCCATTTCCTTATTATTGCCTTTAGAAAATGCTGTATTCTTTCAGAAATTTTTTCACACTTTCTTCCGTTGTTATCAAATTCCACAAACTCATATTTTAATCTAAGGCAAAAAAATATCATGATTTGTTTTTTAAAAAACCATTGGAACTTTAAATATGACCCCAAAAAATGCATTTAAGAATGGTGGCATTGCTTGACTAAAGGATTGTTGTGAACATAGCTGCCAGAAGAATGGTCATGCAGATGATTGCCAGAGCTTGGCAAATTCTGAAAATTGGCCAACTTCTACTAAGGCGATTGCATTAATACGTAAGTACCCTTTTCTGGAGCATTCTGTGCTTTTCCATCTGCTTGTATGCAATTAACAAATGTTCAATGACTTCTAATACATTTAGTGTGTTTCTCATTCATTTTAGCATAATTTGATGTAGAATTTCAGTGAAATGAACTTCATATCTGGCATTTGGATAACTGAATATGTGGCATCCAATAATAGAGCAAGTTTGATACCCACGACATTCCTACATTTTCCCTGATTTCACTCCTTACTTGGTGAAAATTTTTGTAACAGTGTAGTATTTGATGCTGTTACTTTGCAGAGATTATCACCTTACTAACTTAAATTAAGTGCTTCACAGAAATTAATAAATGTAGATAACTGTATGACATGTATAATGAATGATAAAAAAAAAGTTGTTATACCCATATTCTATATCAATCCCATTGTATTTTTGCATCAATGCGTAAATTTAAAACCATTGGAGTTCTTTTTTTTTTCATTTATTTATTGTATCAAAACATCTTTGCTTTGATTTTATCACAGTCTATTATTTTTATGGCAGTCTCAGAACAAAATTAATTCTTTCAGCAGCACAACAGTGTAAAAAATTTTTACTTTTTTTTTTGAGAAGTTTCCCTAATATTTGTATGTAATTTCATTAGATTTATTTATGGTTCATATTTTAAGGCATCATACTAATCCTGTGGGAACAGAGTGGAAATGGAAAATGGACAATCCTGAAGAAATTGTAGATCTTGCTTTAAAAAGCCATTATAGTATGATAAAAGAATTTAAAGGTATGATACATGTATCAAATGTAGACTATTGAATAAAATATTTATCCATCTCAAATATAACAAAAACATCTAAGTGATTTTTAATTTTTCATATTGTAAATTGATATTCTAGAGAGTAATCATGATAAAGATCTTTTTATAACTGTATTTGCTGGTCATTGAAATTACATCATGAAAGGCAAAAAGTAACAAAACCATATTTATATTCCAAATGTCTTACCCAAAAGATGATTACAATTTTGAGTCATCTGGATAAATGTGTGCAGATCAAAGTTGCATGTAACCATTATGCAGGGTTCGTATGGTCCTTAAGAGTCTTTAAAAGCCCTTAAATTTTTTGGAATCGATTTTTGGTCTTTAAAAGTCCTTAATTTTGGCCAAAATCAGCAGAAGGTCCTTAATTTTAATCATCTGAAATTTCTGTCTGTTTTTACGACTGCCATTTTGAGTGTGAATTAGCATTTTGGAAGAATATTTTTGGCGATTCACTGACGTATATGGTTATCTTTTGAATGGTTTCATGGGTTATAATTTATTTCTATTTCTAATATAAATGATGGAATACTTGAGTGTCAAAGCAAGAAGTGTGAAACATAAGCATTTCGAAATTCATTTTTTTCCAATAAAGAGCACTTAAACAACTTTCACCTTTTGGGAATGTGAATTTTTGTATTAAACGGTTCTAAATTTGGCGACTTAAAGATCAGTTTCTTTAGAAAATTTTTAATCCCGAGATCTGAGAATTTTTCGACAATTTTTCCCCAACATCCTAATATTGATCTATTATAAGAAATTATATTTAAAAGTAACATTAAAATAACAAACATTTTTATTTTTCGCTCTTGTGTTATAAAAAAATTTTTGTGCAAAAATTTTTTAAGTTTTATTTTGGCAACTTATTATACAATATTTTGAATCTGAAAAATAAACAAGGTATAATGCTATAAAAGCACAATTTACGAAATAGCTCTTAGCAAAAGCAAAATTAGCTGTGTAATTAATTTAAAATGTCTTCTTTTTAATTTTTTCATAGTAAGCGTTTTCCTCATGTAATTGTCTCAGAATATTCAAAATTCTCAGAATATGCATCAGTTTTCTCTATAAAATTATTTTTACACATTTTTCCCTCCCCCTTATTTTCCCCCTCCAAAAATATTTCTGGCTTTTTGCTGTTGTTACAGAATTGGTACGGATAATTTTTCTTTAGGATTTTAGACATTGCAGCTTGGAAAAGTTTAGAAAGGATTTGAAAGGCAAGATTCTTGGACAGACCACCACGATTCTAGGAAGAATTCAAGAAAATATGTGACAAAATGAAAAATGTCTCCATGGTATCAACATGTAATGGATGTATTTTACAGAAAGTTTGAGATGAATTTCTTACTTTCTGGAAGAAAAAGGAAAACGTAATATTTGAATGTTTTACTTGTGATACTACAATCTTTTTCTTAACATGTTTATCTTCCCTTTATTTTTTTTACTTTTCACTAGACACAAGGGTGGAAAATAGCAAAAATGCTTCTAATGTTATCACATGGGCAGACATTATAGAAAGGGATTTTTTTTATTAATAAAGAAATTGAAAACTTACAATTTAAAAGATTCATCTAATATGTCTTAATGCATAATATACAGAGCTGGTACTAGGCATTTTCTCACCTGATGCAATCTCTGTGGATCCTAAATTCTGCTGCTTAGTGCCTTTCTAAATTCTGCTTCCAATGCCTGCTCTAAATTCTAAAAGTTTTGCCATTTCTAGATTTTGTTGTTCGGTGTGTCACTAAATTCTAAAAATTCTGCCACACCAGCTCTGTAACCGGCCTTTACACTATATATATATTTCATATTTCTTCTGAATGTTCATATTGCTAAAGAAATAAAATTAGCCACTTTTTCTATACATTCTAAATACATTTAGTGTTTTTTAGAATAATAGAAATCCTTAATTAAATCCCAAAATTCTAAAAAGGAAAGGAAATGTGTTGAAGAAAGAAACTGAATACATCAAGAAAATTATTCTTCAAAGATATGTGAAATTATTATTATGTAAATTACCCAATTGTTTATGATTTCAACCTTTAGTACAATTTCCCGTTTCTGTTTCCTCATATGATAGAGTTACTGAGCCAGATTAAATTAAAATTAAATTGTATAATCATTGACCACTAGTCCACACTTTTAGTTTGAATTTGACTGTTCATGTTTAATTACATGGCCGTGAGCTGTAACTGATTTTGTTAGCATCAGAACATGCCTTTATGTTCCAAGTTCTTTTTAAATAAAAAGCTTATTTAAACCTTTGTTTGATATTGTTGTTATTTTCAGCCATAGCGATAATTTGCTTCAGGTTTGTCGGGGGTTTCAGACTATTTAACTTTTACCAGATCTGGTAAACCCTCATAGGTACATTGTGGAGAGGTTGACAAGTTAGGAGATAAAACACGCAGAAACTAGCGAGAGCATTGGTTTGCATATTGAGACAAATCTTTAATGTATAGAAAAGAAGCTTAAATAGAAGGAAATCCATATAAAATAGCTAAAATGTTTGGGAAGGCTTCAAATTAAAATGACGGGTAAATATTTTGTTGAGTGTTGTTGTTACAAAATGTAAATGTATCGTATCTTTTAATGTTTAATTATCCTAATATTGTTTAGAAATCAATGTCATAAATTACATTTATTTTAAACTGTGAAATTGTATTAGATTTTGATTTAAATAGGGCTATTTTAAAAAATATTGTTAAAAAATAAAATTTAAAATTTTATAGTGGCCATGTAAATCCATAATGACTTAAGGTTATCTAACTACCTAATTTAATTACTTATAACTAATTGATTACTCTTAAAAATTATCTCTACATATTAAAGAGAGTTACTGCCTTTCATTAATACTCACTGTGGTCACAAGATAAAACACAAAAATGTAAAAATTCATGTAAAATCTAATGAGAAATAAATATAATAATAATATATTTGAAATAATACATTTATATACTTGAAATAATACAGAAACAACTTATCACCCCTGGTACTTTAATGGCTTATTGGAACCTTAAAATATATTAACTGGGGTTACAATCCCCTGGAGTTCTACATGAAGCTATGGCAATACTAAATGCATCAAACAGAGGCCTGACCTAACTTTCAACTTTTGCCAACCGTGCCTACATCAGGCCTTTCAGGTTTTTTCTAATCAGCAGGTCTCTCTCTAGAGAAGCAGCAGCGGTGACAACATTGAGTCTTATATTTTGAATCATGCTGATTATGATCTTACTTCTCATTCTAAGTAAACCCTCATAGGTATGCCATTTGACATAAAATCTACCTGCTATTTACAAATATGTGGCCAGGTATGGGACAAATTGGTGACTGACCAGATATGTGACAAAATGAGACATAAAAAAAAAAAATCAACATAAACACCTAACTGTTAGTAAAACGTATATGTCACTTATCTTCTTTAAAATATGTCCTACTAAAAGTTTAAAGTTTTTAATGCTACTTGATAAATTGCATAAAGTTTATTTTATTCTCAAACTTATTGATAATTATGCTGATTAATTCATGTATAGTAATAATGCATACTACTTAGGGATCTATTTCATTTTTAGGATGGTATTATAGAAGTGAAATTCAGGCATAGATAATATTTTTTATTGAATTTATTCAACCCATTTGCTAATAGGTCCTTAATTTTTTTCGTAAAGGGTCCTTAAAGTACTTAATTTTCGTGTGCAGAAATATGTATGAACCTTGTTATGGGCAGCAATAACACTTGCTACACAGCTGGACATGGAAAGGAATATATTTTGGAATGCAGCTTGAGTCCATGAGTCTTCATTTTTCTGGCAGAGTTAATCTACTGGAGCTCGTATACATTCTGGATGGCAGCTTGAGACTTCAGTTCTCTGGCAGAGTTCATCTCTTGTAGCTACTGATGACTATTATTGTGCCATATATGCTCAAATGGTAAAAGATCTGGTAAATGCACTTGCTGAGGCAGAAATAGAACACATTATCTATAAAGGGGAAGAAAAGGCAGCATATTTCAAAATAAATCAGAATTTAGCACAAATCAGTTGTATATCAGATATGTTTTAATATTACTATAAAATGTTAATTATCAAGAAAGTGGCAGTTTTCAGTATATTAAACTTACATATCAAAAGCAGCTAAAAATGATAAGAATTTTAATTACCAGTATTATCAATTAATTTCAGATATTACAACATTTGTTTGCTACTTACACTGTTTTCATGTACTTGCTAAAATTTTTTATACTTTGATTCTTTGCCACGGTATCAAGTAGTAATTATTGTAGAAAATATATGGGCAGTTTTTTAAAAGTACAAAATTTTAACTCTCTAATGTTGACTGAATGTGGTTTATGTTTGATAATTTTTTATAATTGCAACATATAACAATATTCAAAACAAATCTGATGTATCAACAAATGTTGCATCAAAAGTGGTTAGTATCATCAGCATATAAGGTGTTTTCTCCCTCTATCCAAAATGCCATCGGTGTATAATGGTAGCACACTCTCTTCGTAATCAAGAGGTCCAGGTTTGAGTCCCAGCAAGGGCATTGCACATTTTTTAAAATAACCTAATGACACTGCAACTGGCACCCGAACTAAAAGGTGGTGGGCAATAATTTGTCAAAACTAGGTTTTGGCGATTGGCTCCCCAATTCCCAGTCACCCTTTAAAAGGGGGAATATATAAAGTACTTTCTCCCTCCTTTCTGCATGCCTTTGTGGTATAATGGTAGCATATACTTGGCACATATTCAAGAGGTCCGATTTGAGTCCCAGAGAGCACTGCACATTTTTCACATCTCCTGCTTCAAAAAAAAAAAAAAAAAAAAAAAAAAAAAAAGCTTTTTAGGTTTTATATTATGCCTCAAGAGGCTTATTTTTTTTTAACTTTTCATGTGTTACTTTTATTTATTAAATTTCATGTTCTTTGCACTTAAAACACATAAAATTCAATTCAACAGCAATATCATAAAATATTTAAAAACAGCAAAACAGCTTATCTATATGAAAGCTTTTAGGTTTTATATTATGCCTCAAGAGGCTTATTTTTTTACTTTTTATGTGTTACTTTTATTTATTAAATTTCATGTTCTTTGCACTTAAAACACATAAAATTCAATTCAACAGCAATATCATAAAATATTTAAAAACAGCTTATCTATAGAATTTCCAATACAGAATCTCACGTGCTGGAGATAAAAATGTTATTTTTTTCATAAAGTGTTGTCATTGCTTGCTTTGAAATTGTTGAGTTTGTTCATCAAAAATGCATTAAAGTTTACAAAATTTTAAATAGGTAAAAAAACAAATTCAAAATAAAAAATTCGGGCTTCCAGGTACCCATGTTCGCCTAGAGGATTGCATAATTCAAAATTTCTTGGCTCTAGTATTAATCACCATCATATATCTCCTGTGCCATTATCTGAAACATGTCCAAATATGTATTAGAATTGCATCCCAAATTATTAATATTTATATTGCACCATATTGCCATTAATTGATATCACAGTTTGTAGCAAAGTAGTTGAATAAAGCATATGAATATCTATTAGCTTCACATTTGGACCATTATTATTGTTGAAAATATACCTGTATGAAATTAAGTACACCAGAATACCTGGTAATACTATAATAGTAAGTAACTGCTATTAAAAGAAGTAACTACTGATACTGCAGTAATGAAAGTACTGCATTGACTCTTTCTAAGATGAAAGGCTCCACTGAAATGGCTGTTGAAATGACCGCTAGTGCAGTTTTGGAGATAAAGAAAATTACCAATTAAAGGAAGATGCTAAAAGCACAATAAAACAAAATAATAATAATAATAATAATAATAATAATAATAATGGCTTTTGAAGAAAAAATTGTGAAAGAGTTAGTGAATATAAAAATCATCATCAATGTAGAAATCAAAATGCAAAAACCTTTAAGTGTAGTTGGTTGAGTTATTAATGAGAGATAAAAAAGAAAGAAAATCTGAAAGGATCCAGATTTTAACACTGCACTAGATGATTTGTTGTTTTTTATGCTCCAGCTGAGCTTGCAATTTATTGATCTGTTCACTTTCTTCAGACTTATGTCACATAAAATTTAACACCAAAACCACAAAAATTTAAAAACAGCATATCTTTAGATTTCATGACAAAGTATATATATTCATTATATTTATTTCTTAAAAAATAATATATGGCAATAACAGTTGTTGGAAGAATTCTTTTATTTGAATTTATTTATTTATGGACAAAAAGTGTGGATTGAAACTAATTGTAGCTTTGGTGCTAAAAAGACTGAGTAAAAGTGAAAAGCTGTCATACAGAAATGAATTTTCTGATTTAAAATGCCTTTTATTTCTGTGGTTTAAGAATGGATTTTACTCCCACTATATTTAAAGGATTGCATGAAACTCTAAGCATGAAAAAGACCCAAAGTTGTTTTGTATTTGATAATATGCTTATTGGACTTAATTAGAGTGATTAATAACTGAAATTCAAAATTTTACCCTAAAAAGTGATAAAAAATGAACGAAAAGAAAATGTTGTCAAAGAAAAATTATGTTGTTTAGGTAATTCTGAGAATCTAGGCTATTTTGTTATTTCTTTATTATGTATAGCAAAATTTTGCTTCTAAAGCAGTACTTTTGAGGAATCTAATGACATCATTGTAACAATTATTTCTGAATTATCATTTATTTTTCATGGTATTTATATATTTAATGTGGCACATATAATGTTGTAGTTCAAAGTTATGAATTCCAAATTTTTTTCAGGTGTACCTGGAGTGAAACCTGAAAGACTATCTGAGGGCATGGAAGTCAAGCACTGTGCCTTATCTTTAGTTGGAGAGCCTATAATGTATCCAGAGATAAATACTCTAATTCGACTCTTACACAGTAAAAAAATATCAACATTTCTTGTTACAAATGCTCAGTTTCCAGATGCTATAGAAAATTTAGACCCTGTTACTCAGTTATATGTTTCAGTTGATGCTAGTAATGAACAGAGCTTAAAAAAAATCGACCGCCCTCTTTTTAAGGATTTTTGGCAGCGCTTTATTGATAGCTTACAAGCATTATCAAAAAAGGTTAGTTGATGGTTAAAACAGTTTAATTTGATTATCTATGAAAAAAAAAAAAAAAAAAAGACTAGTGTGAATTTAATACTCGTATATTAAGTTATGAAGAAGTGATTGATATAACTTTAGAGTTTATTTTAATAACTTTAAATATTTACTTTGACATGAATGAGTCAAATCCTTTGTTATTTAAAAAATGTTTTGGTATTTTTATTATTTTCCTGCAATTTCTTTAAATTTTACTTATTTATGGTTTTATATGTTAAGAAATTTTGTTAATTAAATTTTATAATATTTGATTGCTTTATATTTTACTGAATAAATTTTCAATTCTGATTTTAAAATGTTTAAAAAATTCATACATGATTGCTTTATCTTTTACTGAATAAATTTTCAATTCAGATTTTAAAATGTTTTTCCTTCTCTATATTATAAAATCTTATTTCTAAAATGTTTTAAATAGCAATTTTTTTTTTTTTTTTTTTTTTTCTTTAAAGGGCCAGAGAACTGTGTATAGATTAACATTAGTGAAATCTTGGAATACAGAAGAAATAAAAGGCTATGCTAAACTAGTAGAAATTGGAAAACCAGATTTTATTGAAATAAAGGTTAGTTTATATCCCTGAAAAGAAATAATAATAATAATAATAGTAGGGTAAAATTAGTAAACAAAGTCTTAGCTAATCTGAAATTTAAAAAAAGAAAGTTATTGCTTTATTGATAATTAGAATAGAAGTTCCAAAAATATCTGTCCTGGAATCTTTGTTATTAGCAACATGACATACAAAGAAACTCACTAAGAGTCCTAAAGGAAGGAGGCAATAGTGAGTTTTGTGCCAGTGCACTCAGAGAGAAGAAATGTGTTTTCTTAAGGAAACAACAAAATTGTGTCCAGCTATTTAAAAAAAAAAAAAAAAAAAAAAAAAATGTTTTGAACTGCAGATTTACGCTGGTGAAATATCATGAGTGCATTATTGCCTAATTTTATAATGGGAATTTCCTTTTATTGTTTTGAGTGAATTTATATATATGGTAATTATATTGCTAACAGAAAGAAGAAGAAAAGTTAGTATATTTGGAGAGTGCAATTTCTCTGTTTTGTTTATATTATCAGGAAAATTATGACTTTTATTTTGGTTTTATGTGAATCAACTTTTTAGTCATCGTGTATTATTGTATTCAAATAATCCAAAAAAGATAATATTTTTGCCTTTTGTCAGGGTGTTACATATTGTGGGACATCCAATGCAAGTAACTTAACAATGAACAATGTTCCTTGGCATGAAGAAGTATACTCATTTGCCTTAAAGTTAGCTGAAAGCTTGTCTGATTACAAGATTGCATCTGAGCATGAGCATTCTAACTGCATTCTAATTGCTCATAAAAAGGTAATTTTATATATATGTATATATTTAGTTTTGTAAATTTGTTTGTTATAATAAAAATTAATTTTTACTTCTGAAAAAATTTTAAAACTAAAAGCAGTATTTCAACTAAATCTTGCAGAAGGCCTGGTATAAAAATAAATTGTTTTAGCTCTTAAATTTATTTATTTTTTTGGTGGGAAAAAATCCAGTCATTAGGCTTTTCAGTACTATTTTTGTTTGATAGATATGCAATCTTTATTGTAAAATAAATAATGTTTTATGGTACTTAGAAAGGCTTTTTAGTAACATAAACATTAACTAAGCTTAATCCTTAAAAGTGTTTTAGGAGGAAGAAAAAGAAAAGTCATATCATTATGTTACATTTATTAATTCAAGTGATTTTCAGTGCACACCATTCTCTTTATAAATCTCTACAACTGTCTTAGGTAGCTTTTACAAAATCAGCTTACTAAATTACGTTTTGAATCATATTTGTCTATATTGGATCTTATTGATAGATAACTGTGGTTTAAGGTTATGAAGATCCTTTAAGGCTAGGGAATTGTCTAAAAATTAACATTGGTGCAGTCTTTGAATGCAGAAGAAATAATGGGCTATACCAAATTAGTAGAGATTGGAAAACCAGATTTTATTGAAAGAAAGGCTAATTTATATCCTTAAAAAAGTCAAAAATGCGATAAGAAAAGTCAATCTGAAATTTAAAAAAGGGAGTATCTTTACTTTATTGATAGAATAAAGGAATTCTTAGAATGTGTACTAAACATAAAAGAAATATCGAAGGTATACCAAGATGATTGTAAGGTGAAATTATTTTTACTCTGAGGAAGTTTGGATTGATCTCATGATCACATGTGAAAGTTACATGGCTGAATTTGATTCTTGATTGGGTCATTAACAGTATCTATCTACAACTGTGCCTGTTGAGGTTAACACGTTGACTGCCACGGCACTTTTCGGATTCTGGCCCAAAAGCCAAATCGATTTAATCATATTATATTATTTAAAATACTATTTATAATTTTTACAATCATTTAAAAGTTTATAGGATTTTTTTTTTAATAGAAAAAAGAGGTTTTACAAATTGTCTAATTGGCTTTTGTTAGAAAAAGCTCTTCGCAGAAGCCCACGAGTTGTTTTGTACAGACATGCTTCAACTTGTCGCCTCGGTACATCTAAAACAAGCACTAAGCGAGTAAGTAACTTGAAGCGGCACAAAAGTGGCAAGTCAAGAAACTACAAAATAACTCGTATTGGGCGTCCTGAAGAAGTGCAATAATATGAGTTATCTCGTGTTGGGCAGTGAACATGTTAATTGAAAAGGAGAACATGAACTGAAACTATTTAACTAACTAATAAGTAGTGGCATAACTGTTTTTTCCCTTTTAAAATGCTTTTAATTATAAAGATATTTTTATCTGTTATCTAATAAAGAGACATGCTACATATCAGATATGGCCAACAAGTTAACTGCAAGCCAGTTTTTGGTTCCTCAATCCATCAGATCATTTTTTAGATAAATACACATCATATCAGAATAGCAAAATCAGAGTTTTACTATTAATATGATATTACAGGGGTTCCCAACTGGTAGTATGCAAGAGAAAAATAGGTGGTACTCAAAGAAGTAAAGTATTATTAACTATTAAATTTAAAAATTGTAACCCCATCATCCTGATTGAGTTTTTTCTCTAACATTTGTAAATTTATGCGATCTGAGCTTTGTTCAGCAGTTGTGGTGGTAGTAGTACTTTGTAGTGGTTGTACTAAAGATTTTCAATTTTTGTTTAGATGATACACGTTAGTCAAAAGGTTGAGAACCGCAGTAATATAATCTTTCTTCTATATAGCTCAGATTGGTAATAGTAGCCTTCTAAAAATACTGTGAAACCACCTGTAAATTTTAAATTTAATTTGGGCAAAGAAAGTGTATCCCAAGTTACTAAATTTAACTAACAATAAAACATGTAAATAAGGGATTGATGTATTTAAGTTACTAGTCTTCTTACTTCTCATCATGAAGCCCATGAACTTCCATATGTTGATTGTAGTGTTTTATTTCGATCATGTTGAGAATATTTGCATGGTGTAATATGTGGTTGCCTAACAAGGGAGCGTACTGATATAAGTAAAATATAAATTTTATGGGTGCTTTCCTTGAGATTAACAAAACAGATGAACAGGAAATGTTGACCTGTGAGGAAAAACATTGTGAATAACAGGTGATTAACTTGACTTGTATGTTGACAGGTACTTGGCTGCAATAGTTCCATGCAATACTTTATATAAATGCTGTTTTGGACACTTTGCTGCATTTCTATTCCCGATCTAATCTTTGAGGTCTATATTCTATGTCAGGATTCCATACATCGATTCACTGCACCACGCTGAAGAGAATTATGGTTATCAATAACCAGAACAACACATATCCCGGATAGGCACATCGGTGCGACACACGAATCTTCACACATTTCTTGGCTTCTGCTGCAGGATTATTTAGCATTGACATTTTCACTTCTTCAGCACAATGCAGCTGTAAGAGAGAATGCAAATTCCCCAACACTGTCCCTTGCAGAGCTGGAAAGAGAATAAAACAGAAAAATAATCATTTGTTAAAGTTGAAGACCTAACTGATTCATACATTTTTCTGTGTTTCTCCCTTCAAGATTCTTCATTAAAATACTCTGGGCATTTCTGCTGTAGAATGCTGTAGAATGTGAATGTTCTTATCTAATAAAACTCTAATGTAATGAAAGCAAGTATCAGTGTGTTTTCTTCAAGAGTGATTACCTGGATTTTCACTAAATACTGTACACTTTGAATATTATTGTACAGCAAAGTTGGTTCTGGTATCTTCTCTAAAATACCTAGCTCTGTTAAGAGCAAGTGCATTGCTTTTTATGAAGCTTCAGTTAACACTGTGTATTCTGCTTGATAGCACTACAGTTATTTGCTTGTGTGATTCTCAAGAAATCAGGCTTCCTGCTAATATGAAAATGATTTCCTGTCAAGAGAATTTGGCGCAGTCCATGTCTATATAACGGTTAAGACTTTTATGTGCTTTCAGATAAGTTCTTTTCCTGTTTAACATAAAAGTATTATAGTTAGCATTTTTCTTGAATCCAGTGAAAGTATTTCAGGCAGGTCATATATATATAGCTAATTAAATTAAAGTATTCAATTGAGGATTGATGCTTACTTTTGGTTATACTTTCGTTTTTTCTTTTGTAATGATTTTTTATGATTCGCATAGTTTAATTTTAGGGTCTAATACTGTTGATATAGGCCTATATTCTTGCATGCCTTACCTTTATTTACTGAATTTGGCTAATTGATGCATTTTCATTTTGTTCATTGCTAATACCTAAACTGTTTTATTTTACCCAAGTCCCTCATTTCAAAAGTGTTGTTGAGAGTTTTCTTAATGTGTATCACAGATGATTTGTTTTTAGTTAGGTTTATCAAATCATCTACATAAGTAGTCATTATGATACAGTCATCTGTTTCTTTCTGAACATAAATACAGTTATCTGACATTAATTTTTTGAATTTTAGTTTCTTCAAGGTTTCGTTTAATTTTAGAGTCCACATATGTCCTACTTACTTAAGTCCATAAATTGAGCTTTCCTTCAGCTTGCAAAGTGTTCCTTCAGAAATTACAGAACCTTTTGATTGAGACATAAAGATCTCTTTATCAATTTTTCCATTCAGATAAGCTGTTTGATCATCCATTTGATTGTATCTTCAGATTGTATTTGGCAGCTAATGTAAGCAGTATGCATATAGAGTTGTAGCAAACTACCATCTGTTGTACTTGTCACATACAGCAAGAATAAATCTGGCAGCAACTGCAGGTAGAAAAATTCTGCAGCGCTTGAATAGCAACAGAGAATAACATTCCAGACGCGTTTTTGTAAGGAAGCCAATTTCATCTCGGAGAGAGAATTGCGTTGTAAAATTGAGTTTGGGTGAATGAAATGGAATCCACTGCCCACTGCAGATATTAGTAAAATGTATTTAGAATATTTGCTGCATTTGAAAGGATAAAACCCTTATGTTTGAGTTTGTGGTATTTAACCTCCGAAAAGTTGTCTTGAGTTCAGAAAATTATTCAGGACTTATTCTTGTTCTGCAGATAAGTTCAAATTTTGTTATTGTGTTTGTAGTATATAATTTGCCAATTATGATTAGAATTCTATTAAATACATTTTCAAAATTCTGGAATGGTATTTAAAATTTTAGATGTAAAGTATTCACTGCTATGTCGGAGCCAGTGGCAGTCAGGTGTAAAGTAAGAACGTTTTGCTTACGACATAACAAAATGGCGAGCCAACCAGGATTGCGATCCTGATTCAAATTTGCGAGGATTGTTATATTAATATAGTTGAGAAAGTATTGTGTTTGTTATATTATTATAGAAGTAAATATTAATTTAAGTCTTCTTTGGAAACGTAATGCGTTTTATCATCTGCAATGTTGAATTTCATAATAGTATTCAAACTAGTTTAGATTTATTGTGTATGAATGTTATGACCTATTTTTATTCATTTTTATTATATTGAGTTATATTTTTGGAATGCCTGAGTAAAGATGTTTTTGAGGATTTGTCGGAATGATGATAAAATTACAGATTTGGGGTTTTAAGCAAGTCTGTATTTAAAGGTAAAATGGCTGTTGATATGCTAAAGGAAAGGCATGCAGTGCTTTCACTAGGACAGTTAAGATTCTAAAGAACGAACTATGTAAAGATGTTCATGCAGATAAAGCTGTATTAAAAGATAAAATTGGGAAGTTAGAAACGATAATTGCTGAGTTAAAATCTTACAATTCAGATATACTAGATTTATTGATTAAGGGCAAAGCCACTGAAGATGTTCTAGAAACTGAAGTTATAAGCTGCGAGGAATATTCAGATGAATTTATCACAATTAATCGTTGGGTGAAAAAAGTGTAGATAATGCAAGGACCGAAGTGCCAACACAAGTTCTAACATGTACAGTAGC